ATTGACTTTGACCAATTTTTAGTGATATTTGTATAAATAAGCTGAGCTGCATATGGTATACGTGTCACTATAGCAATAATTAATTGTAATATAAGCATCAATGTAAGTCGAGAATCGATCTGTTGAAGAATTGATCGTTGTACAATGATAGCTGATGGTTTATTATTACTAGGAGCAATTCGTCGTCGAATAACGCTTCGGACACTTCGTATCAATAAAAAAGCAAGCACAAACATCACTAATGGTGTACCCATTGCTGTGAAAATTGTTTCAACATAACTGTCAAAATAAGTATAAACACCTGGTAGAGGAGCACATATTCCATTTTTAGTACTATATAAAACAAGTCGATGACCAAAAAACAAAAACCAAAAGAGCACACATGTAATACACATTTTGTAAGCTAGTTCTACACGATTGCTCCACTGACGATATTCTTAAATGACAAGAAAAAATGTGGAATAGATTTCTTCTCTTATAGAATAGAAGCTCACTATCAAGATTAAAATTATCCGACAAAAATAAAGATTAATATTGTTGAAAATAGATTCAAAGCAATGACAAGTAGAAGAAAACGCTTGTTTCTATCAATTAGTAAAAGAAATGATTTCCATACAAGTCCACTTACAAACGTATAGCTTAAAGGATACAGACTACAATTCTGTGAGGTTCCTCATGTTGCACAATTTGTTTGTACTACTTCCAATATACCGTGATACACATGAGAACCAGCGATCTGCCGACAATTTGCTGTCGGCAGTCTTTAAAAGTTTCAGTTCCAACCTCACACGTTTACAGAATATGTTTAATACTAAATTCGAATTATTTATCAGAAAGAATTACAATTAACTAAAAAGAAAATAATTTCCGAATATATTTTCTTAATAAAAATTTTTCTAGTGCCATTTATAATAAAAATTTAAATCAAAACTGGGGCCAATTTGGATTCTGTGGCTAATACAGGTGTCACAGACACATCAGCGTTAATGGCACGTATTAAAAACGAACCAACTGTTTCAGCTTTAACAGACTTCAAAAATATTCGCTTGTATTAACACAATACTCCATGCATGATACAACACTTTCAATAAAAAAGCTGGCTGTAATTTCTTAGTAGTTATCACAGGAGTTTATCGTGTGATAATGGTGTGAAGAGAGAAGCGATTTTTATATATTTACTGAAAGAAGAAAAATGAAATATTTAAGAAATATTTAACTCGCTGAAATATGAATAAACGATAAGTTTTGATACTTTTCTTTGTCTTAATAGCTCGCCCCTCTCGCAACCAATTTACCGCTTAGAATGGTTCATTTGAGCTAAAACTTTCAGAAATGAATGGTCTTACGAGGAAACATTCCCAGATATGTCGGAAAGCTTTTCAGTCGGGGTTTTCCGCATCTTATAGCCATTAGTAAACTGTGTCTAGGGTAGAATCTCCTCAGCAACAAGCCAGAAACCCGAACTTTTTTTTTATCAGAGATACAGCTCACTAATGGCTATAAGATGCGAGAAATTTCGACTGAAAAGCTTTCCAACACCTGGGAATATTTTGTCGTGAGATACATCAATCTTACGGAAACCCTTTCAATTTTCTACAGAAAAAACGCCAGTGAGGGCTCAGTAATGTGCCATTTTGTAGAGGATGATTTATTCTAGTATCATATATAGTCTAGATAAAATTATATTTATCTGGTTAAGATGTTGGAAAACGATGGCTTGAATTTTCTGAAGTCTCTATCTTTGAAAATACGATAATAATTTTTATTTTGTTATATTCTTGTTAAAAATGTTCGAATCACTACTATTTGATTCTATCTAACGCTAACAGCAGCGGAAAAAAATTGAAAATAAACCTTATTTGTATTATTTTAGTATTTTTTCGAAAAAAATGGATTTTTCTCAGCAGATGAGAGAAACTCCTTTAATGACTATACGAATGTTATTTTCATTAAGAAATATCAAAACAAAATAATTAGTTGATGTTTATTTTTTAAACTTACTATTTAAACGTTGTGCAGATAAAATTCGATCAATTGTTGCAAATGAAAATAAACTCAATGAAACATCATGATTCCAGACGGAGTCAAATTGTCGAAGTTTGCAGATGATATCATAACGTGTAGTTATTGGAATTTGAAATCCTTTTTGAAGTACTCGTGTCATCAATAGAAAATTAAAGTATATTAAATCAGACAGTGCTTCCCATAATAAATACACTGAATAAGCTCGTTTACAGAGTGTTCGAGAACTAAATACTATTATATTTCCAATACAACCAATATTACCTATCAACCAAATAAATAAACCAAAATATATGTTCAATTGATAAGGCGCAGCTAATAGAGCACTGTTAACACTATCTGATGTAGTATTCATTCTTTGTGGATTGATAAAAAAAATAATGAACTATCATTCAATTGTCTTATTTGATATTGATAAGCAAAACGAATTTTCTATTTGTCTTGGAAAGACAAATTGTGCTTTAATAAAATCAAATAATATCTTTTCAATATAAGAAGATCTATTTCAAGCACATTCTATGACAACAGTTGCATATATTGCTTTATACTATGACGCTTATCTAAACGTAATTGATGATGACAAACGAAGCGAAGTATTCTGTAAACATCTTCATGACATTTAGTATACATTATAAAAATGTTTAACGAAGCATTATTCATATAAAAAAGAGAAAGCTTCAATCGAGAGTAAATAGGCAACATTAAATGTTAGAATAATTTTGAAAAAAATGAAAAGCAATATGTTACAATTATATTATTAAAGAAGAACTAGACAGATTAATGAATTGACCTAGAAATTTTTTATTAGTATACTAGAGACTATGGACTGTAATCTGACAAAAATCTGATTATTTTAACTCATCGAATTTTTGACGTTATAACGAAATTGTATATTGGTCGAATAATTTTGATAGTCAATGCATATATGTGTATGTGTATTTTCGTGCATATCTTACTATTCTTATGTATTATCAATATCATTGAATTTTTTACATATTTAGGTGATTTCTTTCCTTTGTCTACGAAAATCATTGAAACTTTTTAATTTTTTTCGTATTCTACTTATGTTCATTGACGATGTCTGAACAACAAGAAGATACAGAATAATACTAAGATAAGTTGTTGTATAATATCGCTACAAATGAATTGTTAGTTAGATTATTTTTCAAATTTCCATTGATTTTACTATAGTGGCACAGAGTCGGGCCTCTGTAGTCGTTTAATATATAAAACAAAATAAAGATCCATGCTAATATAATGCCTTTGTTGAGTTACTAATCTAATTTTCTTTCTTTAAAATAAATAATTTGAAGATATTTTTCCTTACATGAAGAACATCAAAGTGAAATTCTATTTAAAATTATGACTTTATCACGTAAAAAATTGCAATGCTTCTTTTAGTTAAATTAAAAGACACAATTTATATAAGAAAATTTCTAGAAAGCTTTTGAAAAACTATAAAGTTGGAATGAAACTATTTTGATGCTTGATTTTGTTTTTATTCTGAGGACAATAATAATTCATTGAAATGATATTCGAATTTAATAATCTTTGAAGAATAAAAACTTTTACAAATCTTTTTCAATAAAATAATACACATCATGAAACTAATATTTAGATTTATAGATAATCTAAGAATTTCTTTTATAAAAACAACGTAAATATGCATGTCTTGTCGTTTCATGCTTTTCTACTTTTGTTAAAAGAATTTTTCAATTTATTATAAATGTCAAGAAAGATATATCATGCATGAATATCTACGCATCATTTCTTTTGAGTTATTTTGATTATATATGCATCCGTAATTATCTTGCTTTGTAGTAATAAGAAAAAACGTGTTATAGAATTACAAGTTCTCATTCTGTCGGAAAAAATACTTTTAATATTTCGCTGATAACTTGAGTTATATAAGTCATAGAGAAATCATTTTTTCTTTTCGAAAAAAGAGCGAATAGTTCTTTATCAAGTGATACAAAATTAATTAAAAAATAATTAATTTATTACTTGAAAGAAGTGTAACAATGGAGAGGGGATGAAATTGAATTGAATTTCAGAGTGTCTCTAATTACTTCACTCCATGTATTTTTTTTTAAATTCTGCCATTTACATAGAAAATTGAATAGTTTTTCAGAAAAAAGCTTGATTGCAGTATGAAACCGACCGAATATGAGGTTAAAAAACACATTATTCGATTCATCTCGATATGAATCATTTACCGATATATTCATGTTATCTAAAAGCTCTAGTCAAGAGCTATATCTCTATATGAAATTAGCACAGATGGACCTTGTTTGATCCTTAGTTTAACTATATCAATTATGGTATGTTTTTCGCCTGAAAAACAGCGTGTATGTGGGACGTTGAAAAAGTTCCCGAACTGATTTTATTTGAAAACAATAAGAAGCACCGTTGCATTATTATTATTACCTCTGCTTAGTTTATGGAGTCCTCTATCTACATATATGAAAAACTCTGCTGAATGAAACATATGTATGAAAATATAGAAACATGTTTTAGACCATTCTCTATACACTGATATAATATTTAAAACCTCAGCAAAGTTATATGTTTTGAAAGTTCAGCTGTCATTCAAGGGTCGGGTGTGGATGTGAATGTCATGTTCCGCACTCATCCAAACCCACACCCACACCCACCCATACCCACATCCCATATCCATCCACACCCACACCACACATCCACCCACACCCCACATCCACACCCTAAAAACGCGTTCATAAACTTTAATGGAAAAAACTCGTAAAAAGCACACATGTTGACATGTTCAAAATGCGTTAAATTTTTGAGTGAAGTTAAATGCGTTAATACATTTTAACAAAAATAAAATCGTAACAATGTACACTCTTTACGATTTTTTTTCATCAAAAGTCCGACACATTTTTAGGCGTTATTTTTCGATGTTTGTCTGACTGACGAGGGAGGTACCCGAAGTGATTAAGAGCTTTTTAGGTGATATTTTGCCCATAAGTAGGACCTGATAAGGCTAGAAAAAACCTAAAACGATAAGGGCCCATAGGCCTTTCTTTCCGAGTTACGATCATTTTACTGAATTTTTCACTTATGACAAGAGATTCATGGAAAAATCAAATTA